TACATATGAAGTTTTCACGTGATGCGGCGATCCCGAGGATTCCAGCCCCTCACTTGCTAAAGCAAGGACAACTCCAGCTAGCTGGTGCTAGCTTTCGTGACTAGACTAGACAAGACCGCGGGTTCGATGATTCAATGTCTGCTCGCTCACAATCCTCCACATATTTGCGCTCCCTCCAAGACCACTTCTCTGAGTCCTCGAAAAGCAAAGATCGCTCTCTACAGGAAATCAATGGAAGTCATAGTTCGCTCTTGTTCTCCTCATGGACCAGTTGCTCCAAGAGTTCCTGCAGAGGAATAGAAGGCACATGCTTCAAGGTCTTTAGAGTGGCGAGTTTTTAGTTCTGAGTTGTACAAATGAGCTTCGGCAGGGTAGCCGACCTTTGATTTTGCTCCATCACCCTGACAAAAGGCGCAGTCTGCCGAGAGGACTCGCGCCATGGGGCATTTGGGATCCTCCTTCAAGGCCTCGCAAGAAAGATAAGCTTGAATCGAGTGATCGGCAAATCTTTGCATGAAATGGTGCTGGTGGTGTTGGTGTGTTATCCATGACCGCTGTGGCCAGGTGCCCACCACAAGGCCTCTTCTGAAAGTCTACAGGATCAATTTGCCGCGACATTCCAAAGATGCCTCTTCTGAAGCACTGGACCATGCTGGAAACGGTCTGTATGCCAGGACTGCCTTGCCGCACTAGTCTCGCAGCGATTTACATCTTAGAGAAAGTTGCCGAGTACTACTGTGATCTCTGTGGAGGAGCCTCATAGTAAGCGTTCAGGCCTTCCACACAGGAACGAGATGAAGTTGTGGCCTTCCAATTGCGGTAATCAAAACGAACAACATGGGTAAACATTTGTTCAAGGTCAACTGCACTTAGAGGTTGCTTTTGTTGATGTTTTTGTGTGAACAACGGCTGTTTTTCCTGCCCTTATACAAGAGTCCATTGTAGTCCATTCATATATATATATATGCGATTCAAGCGTCACGCCTCTAGCCCGAAGATATCTTTCGGCGGAGTGTTCCCCATGCTCTCTGGCTCAAGATATGCTCTTGAGCCAAATTAGAACAACACAAACACGTCCTTCTGATCTGTTTTTGTCTGCTCCCAACTCGCTGCTACTGTACACAGGCGACAAACCTACACATATTAAAATACAAATAGCTGTACCAATGTTTGCACGTTATGGTGTCTTGGTGGCCGGCAATGTATGGTGGCATCGTCTTAGGAACCTCCACCAAAGGCATTTTATCCTGACCTGAGCAAGCACAAATCCACCAAACATATGAAAATTGTGGGCCAGAGCAGAGCAACGGGAACAAAATCCCTTACTAAAATATATCGCGCACCCTGGTTTGGATGGGTTCGGAATCTCCAAGAAAGGAATCTTGACAAACAATTGTAAGTGAGAGCAGTTGGCCTTACAGTCTCAAAGAAGTTGAGATGCTGGCCCTTCGAAACAGAGGCTGGGTAGGCGGTCTTGCACAGTTCACAGGGCAAAGGCCTCAATGCTCGAAGCCGGGTCAACGAAGCAAGGCATGTAATCAGATATATTGTGTAGTATGTGATGTTCCATATATCACTAATGGTAACGGGTAGTATGGAAGCATTTTGTATGCTTTTGTAGAAACGGTTTAATTTGTGGGGTGAAGAACTGACTTTGTGCTAAGTTTCACAAATAAATATGTATAGGGATCTGAAAGGTTGTGTGCAGCCTTTCAGTGCGATGCAAAACCGTGTTAAACCAAGGCAGAATAACGGCTCACCAAAGCATGCGAGTCAGTCTGCCAAAATTCAGAGACCACTTTGGACCGCCTCATCAACCACTTGTAGTGAACGAGTCAACGCTGTGTTGCGGTATGTTGTGGTTATGTTTGTTATGTTTTTCATGCAAATGTTTTACGTTGTTTTACTATCTTACAAACTGAGTTGGAGCTACAAAGCGCGCAAACTTCTCTGGACCACCCTGCATCCAACACAACAAAAGCTCAAGCCTCCTTCACCCCAGCCCCCAAAGAATGGCCAGGGCCGCCAAAGCCATCTGTCCACCTATTAAAAAGCATGCTCCAATCCGTAAAATAGGGCATGGGGACCATGGAGCACCTCAACTTTAAACGTCATGAAACAGGCGGCTCCGTCACTTCGAGTCACAAAGAAGCTAAACCATCGCTTTCAGTCCTTTTGGGGCCTGAAGTGTCATTTGGGCTCGTAATGTGCTGGATCTAGAATTTAGTATTAGTAAGTCTATTTACTACTTACTTACTACTTAATACCTTTGCCACCTTTATCCACAGAACCACAGATTTGTTTGGATCGTTCAGCATGTTTGTCCTTTAACATAGTTTTATAGATCATTATCAGGGTCAAGTGCAGAGAGGGTGCAGTTTAGAATATATGTGCAACTTGTTAGAGTTTAAGTTCAATGCTGTGGCTCTTTTGGAATGTTTGACTTTCCGACTGCTTTGTCAAGTCGTGTCCAGACTTTATGTTTTTCGTTCAGCAGATTGCGTTGCATTCCCACCTCATGTTCATAGGTGGCGCTTGTGACCCTAGGTTTAGTACTTTCACTAAGATTCCCTTCAATAATTTTGTGAGCATTGCTCATCTTGCTTAAAAATGAATTTCAATCAACTTCACTCATGTACACCAAACACTCTAAATTTGTGTTACAAAGTAAAACAGTGGTACCAAGGTGTCTGTCTGAACACCCTAAGCAGGACTTTGGCGCAAGAATACAAAGGGTGCAAACGTCAAGAACCTTCCAAGAAAGGCAGGCCAGAACGCACCACAAAATCGTCTGCCTGTCCTAAGTGCCTTTATATAAAATGAGAAATCTCCAAATGCTAGCATCTCTTTTTGTAGTTAGTGCAAGGACTGAGCACTGGAAGCACACTCAAGCAAAGGGTGTGCACTGACATTCTAACAGAGTTCAGCCTTCACTTGTATCCCCATGGTGTGAGCTCACGACTGCCCAAATGTTCCTTCTACAAAAAGCTTGTGGGTGGCAAAACAACAATTACTTTGCTACAAAATGATGATGCCAACGTCTCCCTGGACGCCTATTTACTGTATGTAAAATGTCCGCTTTTGCCTCCCATTCAGTGAAATCCCACACAGACACTTCCAACAAATTTCCACATTGACTGATCCAAGCTCCTGGCCGGTAGAAGTATGAACCCTCCGGCGTGTCTGCAATGTTCAGGCGTCCCTTGACCTGAGCAGCGAAGCGGATCTTTCGATTCTCGGTCAAACCCGGCAGATCTCTGAGGCTGCTGACCCAGTGGCGCAAACAGCCAAGGTGCACATATTCAATAGATCCCTTGCACTGGCATGGCCTTGATCGGTTTTTTTTGAGGGATGTTGAGTACTTTCAAACATCTCGAAATCTCGTGAAGCCAACCTGATCAAGGGGTCATCCTCGGAAGACCCCTCCAACAGGCAAATGCGGCACGACCTGCAAACCATAACTGCGTTTGCTCAAATGGTATCGCTTACTGTATTTTGCTACTGGCATCCAAAAGATCATCTCACGTCATTACCACTGGCATCCACTGGCCAAGCTTTGTTCAAGCCTGTTCCCAAAAATCCAGCATGCAACAACTGAGCTGGCTGCGTCTTGGCGAGTTTGTTCTCATGATCCGCCCTTCAATGCCCACGGTCAATGTTGACAGAATATCAAACGTGTTTCCAAACAATCGGCTGTCCCTGGCATAGAATCAACAATTTACATTTGAGTTCGTTCTCTCAAACAGACTGTGGTTCCGGCTCTATGTCGCATGTAGAGCCCGTCGTGTCATCCAAATGGAGTTCCGGCTGCACGGTCGACTTAGTCAAGCTAAACACTGAGAGAAGCTAGCAATGTCTAGTTCATTCGGGTGTGAAGGTGGCGCGAGTGCAATTGGTGCAAATCACTAAGGCCATGCTCGGGGTCCGTACAGTTTCAGATGCAACCATCTGTCTGACCTTGAACTTAAAGCGGCCAAGCCTTGGCAGTTCAAGGTGCAAAGTCCAAAGAGGGCTGGAATCACCAAACACGAGTAGACACCGTGCCCAAACATGGAATTGAGGTTCTAGCTTGATCACATCACCTTCACAAAGCCTCAGTCCAAGAGCATCTGACGATCGTGTTGGTTGTTTGGAGGCGGATAAAGCCCGAGAGAGGAATGAAAAACTGGAAAGAGAACAAGAAGGGTCGAAAAGGTCTAGTCTCAGGAAAAACAATTAACCCAAAAATGATCCCCAAGACATGATGCCGCCTGTTTGGCAACGGCGACATCGCAAGTTCACCAACGAGTGTTGTGTCATGTTGTGCATGTGCCAAACAATGCTGCGTTGAAACACCTGAGTTTTGTCAATGTGCCACGGTAGCAACATAGCACGGCAATACGTCGGCATAGCACGTGTACCCACAGCCCACATTGCGCAAGCATGACAACACAGCAACAAAATCAACAAGCAAAAACCACGGAGTTTGCTACGGAACCCTTCTTTGGAGCATTGCAGCAACATGTCGGCGCCAACACTTATGCCAGCACATCAGCGTGACAACATACGTGCTCGCATGACAGCATTACATACAGCACATTTTGGCAGCGTGACAACACCTCATCACGTCAGCATGACAAATCGTGACAACATGTTGGCGTGTCAGCATACACTGCACGTCAGTATGACAGAATGTCTGCAAGTTGGCGTGACCATGACAGCTGTGACAGAGCGTCAACTTTTAGAGCGTCGACCGACAGAGGGCCCGTACTGACTCGACTGCGGCCAGCCTAAGTAAAAACCTAAGAGGACAGGATCACCGAGAACCTGAAATCCTCCAATCCTCAAGGGAATGGAGTGGAGTCTAAACACAAACGTTCAGAAAGTGAATCGGCGAAGTAGTAGGTGTTTACTGCACTAGACGATTGCTGCAAAACAAAGAGTGAGACAGCTTTGGCCATACGTAGGTTCATCTGAAAAGCCCGGATCAATATCACCAGCACACATCCAATGTCTTCGTTGGTGCAAGACTGGATGGGCTGCTTGCACCCCCTGCTAAAGGAAGAACAAGTTCAAAGGAATCCCTGCGACTCCAAGGGTTTCACACACACACGTCCGTGGACAGCTCTCTATATACACAACACACCAACGGGACACCGTGTCAGCTCATCAGCGTGGCAACACCTGACGTGTCAGAAGCATCAAGTGACAGCAGGCGCAAGGAAAAGCAAAAGCTGGGTGGTAGCCTGACATGCCCAACATGTCTGACAACAGGCCAGCGTCATGAGGTGTCAGGACTCTACGCCGACATATATCATATATCATATATCTGCAAAGCCCCTCCGCAATTGGTGGCAAGCTGCTCCCAAAGCTCCGGAACCTCCTCTGGAACCTGCTCCAGAATTTGATCTTCAGGAGGGACTGTCTTCTAAAACCCTGCTGGGGAACTTGCTCTGGGGCCTGCTCCGGACACTGCTCTGGAACCTGTCCCCCTGCTCCAGAACCTGCTCCGGAACCTGCTCCTATGGTCCATGGTGAAGACCCCTAAGCTTCGCTGTTGGGGAAAAAGGCATGTAAGAAAGAAGGGAAAAAGGTATTCTATTGAACATCCAAAAGAAACCGTCTTTAGGGTCGGCACTTGTGTCCTGATGTTGCAAGGTCACGTACAACGACCCAAAGCTTCTTGGAGCTGCTTGCCGGTGTTGCCTGGCCGAACAGTTGTCCAATTCACGCGTCAGGTAGAAGAATACAAGGTGTCCCAGAAGACCCATTCAAAGCACGGCTTCAAGAGAAATAGGCTGAAATAGGTCTAGTTGAGTCATCTTCGCTTGACAAAGGACCAATCCACAGCCTTGTCTACCCAGTAGCAGCCCTCACGGTGGACAAGACGGAGCATCGGTTCACCTCCTGCAAGATTGTTCAAGAGTCACAACCTGCAAGAGCGCTTTACTTGTTGGGATACAGAAAGGACTGCCTGCTGGTGGATGTTCGCTGTCCGTAAGCATCTGGACCTAAAGAATGAGCGATCAAGCAATCTGGATCAATCAGGCCCTTCCCAGGCAACTGCATTCGATGCAAGTCTGTGGCTTCCAAATTCTTCTGAGGCTATCACGTCGGTACCAGAGCGGACAAACTTTGCTGAATTAGGGACGTTGAAGTACTTCCTGGAAGGAGCACATCTTTCAATGAGGCAAGCGTCTTGCATGCAATGATCCTAATGCTGCAAATGTGCTAGATGTGTGATGCTGTTTGCATGCAGAAGAGAGTTTACATCCGGCGCACGTCTGCAGCTGACTTGCTTCGAAGTCAAAGAGGTCGTGGGAGTCACGAGCCCATGTGCTGGCAACTACCTTCGGGACACACTAGGAGCAATGACGCTACTAGGGGCTCCTGGCATCGCTACTAGGAGCAAGGACGCTATTAGATCTTGAATGTCGGCCTTCACACCCATGGTTCCTGCAAATGGACTAGACGTGCTCCCTGTAGACCTTGTACGCAGAGTCAAGGTCTGGGGGTCCTTCACATCCTATTTTGTTTCTTTATTGAAGGCCTTTGAATCATTTTGGACCGGTGTCGAATCTTCACACGTTTGGCGAATCTGAGAGGCCAGGACTCTGCAGACGCTGTGCGATCCATCAAATGCCTCGTCAAAGCATTGAGTGACCTTCTTGTCACCAGTGTCGACACAATGAAGCTATATGAAGCTCAATAGATGCAAAACACACTGCTAATCTTCCACACTTAGGTTTTGTTGGTGGGAACATACAAGGGACCAGAACCTTTGGAGTGCAAAGGACTTCCTGGAAAGGAATCCCCGTTGCGGTGTTGATGCGTTGGATGAGACCTGTCCGAAATAAAACTGAATCCTAGTTGGAATGTGAGCAGCATTACAGGCATGGACGTCTTTCACCAAAGTGAATATGTTGGGGGGGAAAACGGAAAAAACTATTGTTAACTGTTACTGTACAAGTCCCTTCACGAGGTAATGGCCGATGAAGACAAAATATCAAGTTCCAACCTTTGTTAAGTTTCCCTAAGAATCTAGAAACCAAATCATTAGTGCGAGCGCTTCTTCAAGCAAGCTTCCCCCGCCGTAAACCTTCCTTGAAGAAGCGTGAGCTATCCTGCGTCCATACTAGTAGCTTACTTGTAGGTACTAGCTACCTAGCTACTAGCTACCTACCTCTACCTACCTCACCTCCACTAGCGGCCTACCCCCCCCAAATATAAAGGAATATATATATATATGTATGCTACCCCCCCCCCACCAATACACACCTTTTGTGATACATTCCAATTCATTGTGTTGGTAGTATCTAATGCAGTTTGCAATTGCAAATATAGTAATTGATGGATATGGTTGATCATGTAAACTTCAAAATTGTCAACTCAATTTGTTACATTGGACTTGCAATTCAAAGTATGAATGTCATGGTGCACAAGTGTGAAGACCCCACAAAAAGAAACATAACAATTTACAGAAGAAATTGTGTACATGACAATGAACAATACAGTATTATATATAAGCACTCCAGTTCATACTGTCAGTTGCACCCAGTGCAAATGCACGTATGATAATTGATGAATACAACTGATTGTATGAGTTGTTAGTTTATGGTTAGTACATTTAAACAACTCAAAATTCGACTTTAAAATTCTATGTGTGTGACATTCACAAACATTGGGTTGCGCAACTGGAACATTGACCTGCATGCTTTATAACTGTGAATATCACAGGGTAACACATAAATTTACAGAACTATTTGTGTGCATGACAATTGATCATATCATATCAATATTCCAGTCTGATATGATTGTAATTTTGTTTGCCCATCACTCAAGTCAAATCGTCTTCATAGATCGTGAAGGCATCACTCTTCACTGAATAGGCCTTAATATCATTTTCTGAAAGTGTATTAGCTGCTTCACACATTGAAAAGTTATGATATTGAATATTGAAGTAGCAACCCTGTTATATCTGTAAGCCCATTGACTAATATATTTCTATTGGTGGTGTTTAAGATGCAAAAGATATTGCATGTGTGTTTCTTCTTCTTTTTCTATGTCTTGTTGTATTGCATAAATCCTTCCTCCAAACTCACTCTGGCAACGGCATGCCTCCCTCAAAGTGTTAAAACAGTAACTCTTCTGTGCGGTGTTGTGTGATTTTTTTATAGCATTCCAAATTCCAAAGGTGATGTTTCCTAGTTATTTTGTCATCTTTAGTAAGATCGGTTTCCCATAGTTCATTAACAAGCTGGTCATAATTGACCTTATGAATGCATGAAGGAGTCTTACAACATTGTGGTTTTCATTGTTTGCTTGCAACAGTTTTCTTTAAAACTTTTCATATATTAAAGAAAACATTTGATGCCTTCACTTCCACTGTATACAATGTAAAACTAGATAATTTGCAAATGTCAATGTCATCACTGTAATGTTTCCAACTATTGAAAACCGGTATGAATTTAATCTGCGCAAATGTTCATGTAAAGACTTCAGTTTTGTTGTATCAATGTTGTTATCAAAATATTCTGATGGGACTATAGTCCTACAATGTTTTTATCAAAATAACCTGATGGGACTATAGTCCTACATTCATCCAACATTGCATGTGAATGTCCTTCCGGACCCCTGGTAGCTGTGAACAAAGGATGCAAATGCTGTGGTGTGACGAAAGTCTTCCGAAATCTGCAGACATCTTAAGAAATCTTAAGATTTTCTGGAACCAAGAAACCAAGAGCCAAGATTGCACAGAAGTCTTGGGCAAAATCTTGGTTCTGATGAGAAGGTTTTCTTGGAACTGAGAACCAAGATTATCCCCAAGACTTCTGAGCAATCTTGGTTCTTGGTTTCTTGGTTCTTAAGATTTCTTGAGATTTCTGCAGATGTTTGAATAATGTTCTTGTTTGCTTCTTGTTCTCAGATATAATAATCTTCACCTGAGGACATGTATATATGTATATATATTGTACTCCCCTTTCAATTAACTGATAGATTATCATCCCCAAACATGGTACCACCCCTCCAGAAAGTGTTCCAAACAATCATGTGAAAAAAGGTCTCAAAATATCACTCAAAAAAATTAGTCCAAAATATCACTAAAAAACTGTAATTTACAGTATAGAACAGACAAAGGGTGTGTATTGGAGGGGGGGGGTACCATATATATATATATAATTACTGTAAATTACTAAATTACTTTTAAGTTTCCTTGGAAGGCTAAAGCCTTTCAGTCAGATTTGCACAACTGCTACAATCCATCCTCTACGATCCATCCTCTTTGGCTCTGACTTTTGCTTTGGACTAGACTCGTGCCTCAAACGCCAATTCGGCTCGGTGATGTTTTTAGAGATATGTTCAGATTTTCTACTGTCGAGTCTGGTTGTGCCACTGGGAAAGTATGACACTTGGGAAACCAATCAGCTGTCACAGGCAGCAAATGCGTGTCTTTTCTTCGTATTTCAGGTTGGAAGTCAAGCATACTTTCCATCAGCTCTCTCCAACTACGGCTACAACAAACATCCACTACATATCGAGCATTCTTACTTGTGATATAGTCCCTTTGTGAAAACAGGGAACAATCAAAACTTGCCGCTTTTGTGGCCCCTTCCTTCACTGGTCCTGATCGGAACCACACCCATTTCACAACCCGGATAGTCGGGTCTACACTAGTGAAGTGCATCGTTCGTGCAAGTGGTTGAACATGAGCGAATCAAACAATCCCAAACAAACATCGAACCAGAAAACCAAGTTGGATGTTGTTCCTCTTCAAAGTTGGGTTCCATGTAGTAAATCCGGCTCAGTGCAGAACTCGCTTTGGCAACGGGCAATCGCCGAATGCCAGAAAAAGAAGGCAAAAAAAAAAGACACTACCTTGAGCCACAGAGTTGCAAAGGGAATATACTCCTGTCAGCCATTGCCGGCCATATATCGTGCATCATCATCCTACCCGGTTCTACTCGGTGTGCCAATGCTGCATTCGTCTTGACCGAAGATGTGCCGTGCAATTGAGATTTGCACAGCCACGCTGCATGTCTGCATCTGTGTGAAACATACAGGACGATTCCACACGGTAAAGCAGGCGTCTTTTTCCG